TCTCGAGTGGAGGCCACGCCTCGGCAAGCGTAGCGTTGGACGCCCTCCGGCCAGATGGACCGATGACTTGAAAAAGGCGGCTGGTAGCGACTGGATGGCAAAAACGGGAGATCGTGCCTTATGGCGTTCCCTGGGGGAGGCCTACGTCCAGCAGTGGACTGCAATAGGCTGAAATAGAATAGAATAGAACTAGCGATTGGGAGCAGTTTTATCTCTAGTCGCCAAAATAAGTTTTTTTTTTTTTTATGTAATTTAAGCCTGGCTTCATACTTAAATGTTCCATGCTATTTGGAACTGTTGATCTGACTTCGGTGTAAAGAAGCGTTATTTCAACTAATCTTAGCGTCCTATACATAACACTTGTAACAATGGATCCAGTCTGCGTTAGCCTTAATGCTCAAAATTGACGTAACAAAGACAAACGTATCCTTCTATTACACGGAAGCGGAAAGGAACCCATATCGGCTCGTCGGACGGAATGGAACCCTTCAACAATTCGTTAGATACGCACTTGGAAGTTTACATTTTTAAGGGTTGCTATAGTTTTATTTTACCTATAAGTTCTGGAATTTTAGGCTGATGTGTAAAAATTACGATTGCTAAATTAGAAATTATTTTATTACGAATTGCTACAAAAAGTCATCAACTGAAGCCAAAACTATAAAAAAAAACTTAGTCAAAAAGAAATTGATGCTACAGCAGTGAAACAAACAAAGTAGTGTGAGAGTAACTCACATAATTAGGTACACATCAGTGTAATAAAAGGTCATAAATTTAGATATATAAGTTTTATTTATCTCCTACATAATCAAAATTCGATAAAATAAAAGTAATTTTATGTTACAAGGGAACCCTAAATTAGATAAGTGTAGGTAAATCAGTGTTGTAAAATGGCAACATCGATCGTTTGACGTTAAAAAAATATGATGGCCGTTCTGTTGTCACGCGAGGAAAAAAATGTGAATTTCAAATTTTGATTATCCCGTAATTACTGCCGTTTTACTGCTGATTGCTATCGATAATCAATTTATTATTGTAGAATAAAGTGTGGCGAACAATTTGGTGCGGTTGACCAGAGTGTTTCAGTGGAAAAATCGTGAATAATTATGATATTTCGAGTTGATAAAAAAGTAATGTTTTTTTGTGCTCTTCTGTCCTTTAGGTGAGGTTTTTTGTATACCTTGTATCGATTACTCGTTCTATAGCCAGGTATGAACGTAATAAAGAGAGCTGGCCTCCATTTTTCCACTGAAAAAGGGTTAAACTTAATCTTTAAACAAGTTTTGAATCATGTTTTGATGTTGGGTTAAGTGTGTTAGATGTAAATAATTCGTAGGGTTCCGTGTCCTTTGTTATAAACGTCCATTGCAGTATTTCTGGGGTTCGTTGTTACTTATAAACATAAAAAATAACTGTTGTGTTTTACCTTATTTTTGAATTGTTTGATCAATAATTTGTGTTATAAAATTACAGCTGATATTAATATGAAATGTAACCAACACCAGCTCAAGAAAATAAATAACTTCTTCTTGCAGTCTTGATCAGATCAGACCATGAAACTGAACAACTTTTTTCATGGAACCTATTTGGGAAATGAGAAAAAAACATGGATCTCCCGTACAAAATTCCCAACCAGCTGACTAACGATTGACAGAAACATTTTTTTTTATCATTTTCAACATTGACTTAATAAAATAGAAAACCTGACTGTGGTGAACTCAAAGTTATATTTTGCGATAATAACTGCCATATAGAATTTTTAACAACACCTCATAAGTGAAGAACTGCCAGCCATTTAGACTGTAGCCCTTGAAAACAATTACTTGTCTACAGGGAGTAACAGAAAGGGTATAACAAGCCGAAAGGAGGTCAAGGTACTCATGAAACGGAACAACTTTCCCCATGGAACATGGGTCGAAATATGAAAAAAAAATTTGGATCTCCCATACAAAATCGCCGATCAGCTAAATGATTTACTATGGGAGGTTCAATTTTTTTTTCATATTTCGACCCATGTTCCATGGGGAAAGTTGTTCAGTTTCATGAGTACCTTGACCTCCTTTCGGCTTGTTATACCCTTTCCGTTACTCCCGGTATATGTATGTAGATAAAGACATACATACACACATACATACATAAATACATACTCCTGCCTTCTAAAACAGTTGTGTAAAAACTTGATCAATTGATGGTCTGATTGTTCCTGCAATGTTTTTTACACTGTCTCCCTTACATACTCCAAGTATTATATTGCTAATTGATTTAATGACTTCTTACAGATAAAATGGACAACATGGATCCACTCCACAGCTACGACAGTTTTACGTACCAACAGTACAATCAGTTGATGACCAACGGGTACCAGTACCATGTCAAACTTGAACATGCCAACCAAAACCAACCGAATGTCAACAACGCCCCTAACGTACCACCACCGTACATGGGGACATATCCTGTACCATATCAAAACTATGACAAACCTATTGTTGAACCCGAAAAAACCTTAACAAACAGTCAAACAATACCGCCAAATAGTCTGCCGCTTGAGACAAATGAAACTGAACAACCGGTAAAAAATCAAATTGAAGAAGAAATTGACACAAAAGAGAATATAAAGTTGCTACCGCAGCACAGAAAACGGGTGCCAAAGAAAAAGGGGAAAACTTCAAATTACTGGAACAAGAAAATTGAAGACAAAAACTTTCCCTTTTACGGATGTACAATATGTAACGTCAGCTATTCTAGTATTCAGGAGCTAGACGAGCATGTTACTATTCACGAAGGAAGAATAACTAGTTACGATATAAGAGTCCGCAATAAGATCAAAAGGAAAGAAAAAATTAAACAACTTAAGAAGATAAAGAAATTAGGCAAATTGTTGAAGAAGGAAAAAGGTGTAAATAAGAAAGAGAAAGATGTCAATTTGGATGTTGAAATTAAACCAGAGGATGGATATATAGGTATGCTTTTCAATTCTGTCCTTGTAAACAGCCAAAACTTGGTTGAAAGTTTTCTAAAAAATGGTTTACCTAACATGGGAAGTGTTTTAAAATTTGCTATTCCTTTAGCATATTAATAATTTTGTTCTCTCACTTTTCAGGAAATGAAAAAGCCACAGAGTACACCCAAAATACAGATAATACCAACCAGGAGTTACCGGTGAAAGAGAACACAACCGATGTAAATACAGACAAGTCCAATATCAAAGACAAAGGGGATAAGGTGATAGTGAATGAACCAGATGATCCCAGGTATGTTTACTCTTACTCCTCCTAAACCACGCAACAGATTTTGATGCGGTTCTTTATAATACCGAGAGTAACAGAAAGGGTATAACAAGCCGAAAGGAGGTCAAGGTACTCATGAAACTGAACAACTTTCTCCATGGAACATGGGTCGAAATGTGAAAAAATAATTTGGCCCTCCCATACAAAATCGCCGATCAGCTGATTGATTTACTATGAGAGGTCCAAATTTTTTTTTTCATATTTCGACTCATGTTCCATGGGAAAAGTTGTTCAGTTTCATGAGTACCTTGACCTCCTTTCGGCTTGTATACCCTTTCCATTACTCCCTGTAGATAAGATGATTCCTGAGCAAAATTAATATGTTTCAAACACTCCGGAAAAGTGATTTTTTCCCGTGGGTGTCGTAAGAGGCGATTAAGGGACTTGAGGGTTTCATGTGTTACAATTTTAAGTGACTGATTGACAACCTGTCACTATGTTACAATTTTTTTCCGAAAAGTGACTGTATTTTCATGGCTGCCAACGCACTGACCAACCCGAAGGGATAAAGGAGTAATTTATATTTATGTATGTATTTAAAGTAATTTACTCTATAAACAAACAGAAGAAAGAAAAAAAATACCTAGAAACAAACAGAAGGACTTATCTAGCCTGTGTCATCCCAAATTAATATTGATTTTATTTACCAGGTTATTGAAGCTGTTCAAATGCTTCGCTTGCCAGAAACAATTCTCACTGAGCTACTATCTGCGGCTACATGTGAGGTCACATACAGGTACGTACAATCTGCTGCAACCCCATAGTCCACCTTATGGGCCACCTGGTTGGTGGACCCAGACTCAAACTCAAAAGTATTTATTCAACATGGGATACAAAAAAAAAACTTATTGACCACTGGCAAGTTTTATCCTCCCATGGTCCACCTACATTACAGCAGTTCGAAGAGGCCATATCTGACAACAGCTGTCAGGGGAGGTATCCAAGATGTCAGCGGGTAGCGAGGGGTGTAGCAGGGAAGGGGCACGCGTGCATCAGCGCCACACGTCATATTAGAATGACGTGCTCCTTGCCCCCCCCACGATCTGTACCCCGCAGGAAGGTCGTCCACGAAGTTGTCAAACTATAGCATATTTCCTCCGTGCCCAAGTTCAGACTGTTGTGTAGAAAGTTTTATTTATAATATTGTACATGTGTAAAAAAAACTGCAAATATTTTAAGGGGTGAACCAGTTAAATGAACCTGGACAACTTTCCCCAAGGTCACATAGGTCAAAATATGAAAAATATTGGATCTTCCTTACAAACTAATTCGCTCGACTGGTGCATTTGTATAGGAAAACTTCGTATTTCGGCCTATGTGAAAAGTTGGGGAAAGTTGTTCAGTTTCATGGGCTAGTTCACACCTTAATATAATAATAATAAATTTCTTTATTCAGGCAATTTAAAAACCCATACATTACACAATACATACAAAACAAAATAAAGTGAATATAATATTTTTTTTTTAATTTATTTGCAGTTTTTTTACACCTTGTACTACAGATGTTTTATTTTATTATATTACAGATGATTTATTTTAATATATTACAGATGAGAAACCGTATACGTGCGCGGAATGTGGGCAATCGTTTATTACCGCAAGCAAACTCGGGAGACATAATAAGAGGATACATCTCGCCATCAGATTCCAGTGTAGAATATGCTACAGATTCTTCTCAAGGTAAATGAAAATAAGACATTGCAAAAATTGTCATGCATCGACCGGGGCTCGAAGCAGGGCGCATGGGTCAACGCCCCACCGCTCTGCCAATAAGCTATCGATGCACCGGTAGATGCCTGCCAAATTTTTCAATCTCCTAATACTCGTCTTTAAGCGTCGATCTTCTCCACGTCTGACAAATTTTAAGAGTCATTCAGAAGACTGTTTATGACCATAGTCAGCCTGTCGCCATAAATTTCAACTCTTAAATCCTTTAGCCGCTTCTTAAGGAACCTACGGGAAAAATATGGGGTGATGCTATTCTAAGCCAGCACGACCCCGCAAAGTTTAATAACCGCTAGCAAACTCGGGAGGCATAATAAAAAGATATATGTCGACATTACATGCCAGTGTAGAATATACTATAGTTATTTTTTTAAGGTAATAAAATCATCATCGAATACCAAATTTTAAAACACTTCTCGTGTTAGGTAAACAATTTTTTGGAAAACTTCATCGGTTTGACTACATTCAATCTGTAAAGAATGAATTAGTCGCTGGGAATTAGTTGCAAAACTATCCCGGTAGATGGAGCCCATCCACGCGATAGTGGACAAGATATACTTCCATAATTTCGCGGGCTCGATTGGAACCGCGGTAGCCCAGTTGGTTAGGGCGTCGGCAGTACTGATGCCGAAGGTCGCAGGTTCAAATCCTGCCTGCGGTGAAAATTTTGGAAGTTTTCCAAAAAATCATCATCTTCTATATCATCTTCTCCAACATCTCTTATACATATATCACGCCTATATCCCTTGCGGGGTAGGCAGAGCGTAAATGGCTATTAAAATAGCTTGATAATAATTTCTGTTTGTCATTATAAGATGTTATTTTGTCTGATTTCAGGTTCGATATTCTCACAAAACATTTCGACAAAAAACACGCAGCGGATAAGATAGAAGGAGAACCTTACGGTACTGTATATACCTCATTTAATACCTTTTTACCCAACTGCTTTAGAAGGAGGGTTATGTTTTTCGAGAGTATGAATGTACGTGGACAAGAATATCGTTTTCATGGGCTACAGCCAAAACAGCTGGGCGAATCTTGACATATGAGGTTTCGTTAGATTCGTATCAGCTGCGCGAGTGACATTGGCTATATTAATAATAATAATTAAAAATTCATTCATTCAAGATGGCGGATTTTTATCGCAAAATACAACTTTTATGACTTTTCTTCGAAATACATAAATTGTATCTCCCATACGTGGTACAATTTTTCAACATGTTTGAATATGAAGACCAAATTTTTCTTACATATTTTGAATAAACAACTTTAATATTTTAATTAAAACTTGAAATGCTAGCCGTACCGGACTATAATTGCCAATATACTAGAAAATCTTTAATTCTTTTTCTTTAGACTTCAACGCCATATTACCCTACTTAAAAGAACTAGAGGAGCAACTAAAAGAGCAGTCTGAAACCAAACCGGAACAACTTAAAACGGAAAACCTTTGGGACGACAATACACAAAGTATAAAAACTATAAAAGAAGACGATGATACTAATGTTGAAGAGAGAAAAATCGACGTGGAATTGAGTGATACGAAAGTGGATATGTATGGGGTGGATACTAAGGATAATATTGTTAACGAAATATGTTCCGTTACTATTGGGGAGAGTGGTGAGTACAATTTTATAAAGGTTTAAGGTATTCCCGTGGGTGTCGTAAGAAGCCACCTAAGGTACAGCATCATCCCATTTCATTCCTGCAAGTGTTGTAAGAGGCGACTAAGGTATTTGAGGGTTTATGTGTATTGCAATTTTAAAAGACAGGCTGACAACCTGTCGCTATGGTGATACACAGTCTTCTGAATGACTCTCAAACTTTTATCAGACGTGGTCTAAATGGCCGTTTTTACTGCCGTTTACGCTTTTCCTACCCTGCAAGCGATATAGGCGTGATGTATGTATGTCTTCTTTTTGGCCCGTGATGCCGGCTTAGAATAGCATCACCCCATTTCTTTCCTGGGTAATAAGCGACTGAGGGAATCGAGGGTTTCATAATTTCATTTGCTTCGGAGGGCACGTTAAGCTGTCGGTCCCGATTGCTATGATTATTTAGACGACGGTCGTTACACAACCATGTCAGAGGCCTGCTTCTTGCAGTAGGCGGTTGAAAACCCGACACCAGGGTTCATCGGGTCGTTCAACGACTTCGTGTCCCTCTCGAAGAAGTGATATCCACTGTAAAGTCGGTTTAATTTTACCCGACTGCCTCAGGAGGGTTATGTTTTTCGAGAGTATGTATGTATGTATGTATCCTGATATACGTTTTTACGGACTACAGACCAAACTGCATTAAAATTGTATAAATTCAAGATGGCGGATTTTTATCGCAAAATACAACTTTGAAATTCCTTCAGTCGGGTTTACAGATCCAATGATAAAAGAAGACAAACACGACTTCAACATGCTGGTTGAGGATGTGAAGATGGAGCCGTTCCACGATGACCATGACGATGACCACCGCGACGAGGATTACAGACCGGAGAGGTATTTTAAAGGCCATTCAATAGTAGGTTGTTGACGAGGACGGAAAATAAGACTTTGTTTGACGAGTAGAGTTTGCAGTCCGAGCCGCAGGCGAGGACTTTAATAATACGAGTCTAGCAAAGTCATTTTTCTCAAACATGCTAGGAAATATGACAATTTCTTACAAGAAAACAATCCACAAAGTTTGACATTGTCTGTGATTTTAAAATTTCTGAACGATTTCTTTTTTACACACCAGCAATGGATTCCAATACAACTTTTCTGGCGCGATATCGAAATCGTTCAGAAATTACAAAATAAAAAAAGAATAACTCCTAATCCACATCTTGACTCAGTAATCAGTAAAACAACTTTTTATATCAAATTAATATAAAATAAATTAAAATCTTTATAATTTCCTGGCATTTTTTTGAGAAAAGCACTATGTAAGCCTCGGGGAAAATGACTTTGCCAGACTCGTATTTTTAATGTCCTCGCCTGCGGCTCGGACTTCAAACTCTACTCGTCAGTCAAAGTCTTATTTCCCGTCCTCGTCAACAACCTACTATTCCCCGAGGCTTACATAGTGCTTTTCTCAAAAAAATGCTAGGAAATATTAAAGATTTTTATTTATTTTATAGTAATTTGATATAAAAAGTTGTTTTACTAATTACTAAGTCATGATGTGGATTTGGAGTTATTCTTTTTTAATTTTGTAATTTCTGAACGATTTCGATATCGCGCCAGTATTGGAATCCATTGCAGGAGTGTAAAAAAGAAATCGTTCAGAAATTACAAAATCACAGACAATGTCAAACTTTCTGGATTGGTTTTTTGAAAGAAATTGTTATATTTCCTAGCATGTTTGAGAAAAATCATAGTGTGATATTTGCGTTTGGGATGAGAGAATGTGCGTTTGTGTGTTTGTGCAAACCAATGTTACCAATTATCTCCAAAACCACTGGTCTAGTAGAGGAAGATTTGAGAAATTTACTAGCGACCACCGGGACTTGAACCCGATACCGTGGGGTACCGTCCTACTGCTCTGCCAACTGAGCTACGGGCGCCTGGCGGACCCGGTATTTAGTAGTAAAAACTACTACTAGATGTCGCTTAATCGTCGCTTCGAGACGAGCATCAAGAGATTGAGAAATTCACCAGGGTCCGCTAAGCGCCCGTAGCTCAGTGGGCAGAGCGGTGGGACGGTGCCCCACGGTCCCGGGTTCAAGTCCCGGCGGTCGCTAGTGAATTTTTGAATTTTGTCATTTTCAATTTATGTGATGTCGAGTGTTACTATTTCCATTCCAGTTGTTCAGACGACGACTACTTCCCCGTGAACACGTGGGCCTCCACGCCGGTGGCGGAGCCCCTCCCTGTCACGTCACCGGAGCGCCCGTCGGGTACATACATTACAATTTACTCATAGTAAACAATTTTTCTGCCGTCTGCCGTTTAATGTCTGCCGTGTGATGCCGGCTTAGAATAGCATCACCCCAATTCAACCCGTGGGTGTCGTAAAAACCCACTAAGGGATATTCATCCAGGGAATGGGCAGCAGCATTCCCTGTAAATGCAACATCTTACACTGCGCTCGCCAATCCGCCTGCCAAGCGTGGTGAGTATAGCAATACCCCCGATAGGGGGAGGCCCATGTCCAGCAGTGGACTGTTGTGGCTGTTATGGTTATGGTAAACAATTTTTTGCATTGAGTGGTATAATATACACCGTGTTTCAGGGCAAATGCATTAAATTGGATACGTTGTTTAGGGCATCGTAATGAACAATTTTCAGTATGAGACCAATGCTAAAATTCGAGAAAATAAAACAACCAGCCATATTAAGCCATACCCAGCTGCTCGTGAATATTGTATGGGAGACCGATTTCTTCTTTTCGTGTTTCAACATTTTGGTCCCATAGAGAAAATTGTTCAGTACGATTCCCTAAACTTAACAACGTCTTCAATTTAATGCATTTCCTACGGAACACGGTTAAGCGAGCTATAGAGTGCGCCTAAAATGTTAGAACGGTAAGCAGTAGTCTGCACACAACCTAGCTCTCTGTCTATCGGTAGCAAAATACCAGTGACAGCACTATTGAACCTCTATAACTTCTCATACATTTGACGTCTGTATCTAGGGAGCAACTGCTTACGCTTTGACTGTACGCCGCAAGGCCTTATGCGCACTCTATACTCTAGGGTTACGATTATTAATAAAATCATAAACTGAATAATAACGTTTATCTACACTTCATACATAATGTTCCTATTACAAATTCGAAAGCAAATGTTTAAGCAACTGCTTTACAGCCATTCAGCCTTTAAAAAAAAATGTCGATGTCATAAAGTACTTTTTTCTGACTTTATGATATCGACATTTAGCAGTAAGATAATAAAAAAACAAATGTCACGACACAATCAAAGAATGGGACGACACTTGAAATTATGAGGACTTATTTATTATTAAATCTTTGCTTCAAATCATTTTCCGAATTAAAATTTACCGATTAATGCTTTTTAATTTTAAAAGTTGTTCCGTTTTTATGAGCTTCCATTTTTACGTTTAGTTAAAAAGTTACTTATGTATAA